TCCTGCACATGTACCCCAGAACTTAAAATAAAAATTTAAATTAAAAAAAAAGAAGAGGCCGGGCCCAGGGGCTCACACCTGTAATCCCAGCACTTTAGGAGGCCAAGGCGGGGCAGATCATGAGGTCAAGGGATCAAGACCATCCTGGCCGACATGGTGAAACCCCATCTCTACTAAAAATACAAAAATTAGCTGGACGTGGTGGCACATGCCTGTAGTCCCAGCTACTTGGGAGGCTGAGGCAGGAGAATCGCTTGAACCTGGGAGGCGGAGGTTGCAGTGAGCTGAGATCATGCCACTGCACTCCAGCCTGGTGACAGGGTAAGACTCCGTCTCAAAAATAAATAAATAAATAAAATTAATTAATTAAAACAAAATAAAGAAGAAGACTGAGACTATAAGACAGACTAGAACCCACGATTTCTGACTCGGTCCAGATTATTTCCATACACAAGTTAAAGCATGTGGACCACAAAAATAAAAGTCTTTACAAAGACACTGGGGAAAAAATGTTCTTCTGTAGAAAAAAATAAAGATATACTGGGGGGAAAAAGGGTTGGGAGTACAATCTGTATATTGACTAAACCAGTTTTGTAGCAAAGCCAATAACTGTCTTTTGTTTGTTTGTTTTTGTTTATTCTCCCGTGGTACCTTCAAAATATAATTGTGGAGATAATTTCCCCTATCCCTGGATGGATACTTGGGCAAATCCCATCACTTCTGCATTCACTCTTAGATAATGGATGGTTCTACAGTGTTAAGATCATAAAATCAACATTGGTTTAGTAACTTGTACAGGTTCCATCCAAGATATTAACAAACCCTTCAGTCCTCATTCAGAGTCCTTTTCTTCTTGGCTAAGTGAGGCCTAAAGACTGCCTGCTTTGAAAAAGAAGGTGTGGGCATCTTCTTCTCTTCTCCATTCTCCCACTAGCTGCTGTTTGGGGCCCTTCCTGGGGAGGGGCAACGGATTCTACTTAGCTGGGTGGCTCCCTGCACTCTGGGCTTGTCACAGTGAAAGCAAACTCTTACTTCCATGAAGCAATTTCATGGGCTTTTGTTTTCTTTTTAATTACCCAATTGCTGAGGCCTCTCACCTAATTCTCAGGCTTTGAACAAAACATTCCACCCGCCAGGCTGCTTTTCCCCACTGTCCACTCCACATGGCTTCATGCTGCTGCAGACTCCACCCTTCCCAGTGGCTCCCCAGGCAGCACTCACAAACGGTTCTAGCCAGCTCTCCCACGGAGGGGCCTACTCTGGGGGACAGGAAATATTGAGAGACCTTGGCCTTGATATCTCAGAGATAACAGCATGCTCCAGACCTCACTGCTGGTTGGTGAACCTGCCTTTTAGCCCCTCTATTTCTTAAGGTGCCAACCCCATTCTGAACGTGTCCCAACTTCAGCAAACACAAATCAAGTTCATGGACAATCCCACTGAAGCCCTTTCCCCAGTCATGGGCGGAATGGAGGAGAAGAGGAGAGTCTGGAGACAGGGCATGGCATAAAAACCCCTCCTCTGGCTATACTGGAATCCCCCTCTTTTTCATTACTTTGTGCGTGGTATTACATGCAACATAAAACTTAGCATTTTTACCATTTTCAAATGTATAGCTCGGTTGTATTAACTATATTCATGTTGCTGTGCAACTGTAACGGCCAAACCATCTCCAAAATTATTTCAATCCTCCCACACTGAAACTCTGTACCCAGAGTTTCTAACGTGAACTCTAACCTACCATTTGAACTTCCTGTCTCTATGAATCTGACTGCTCTAGGAACCTCATATAATGGAATCATTCTGTGACTGGCTTATTCTACTGAGTACAATATCCTCAAGGTTCATCCATGCTATAGCATGTGTCAGGATGGAATATTGGATGGGTAGACCACACTTTGTTTTTCCATCCATTCATCAGTGGACACTTGAGTTGCTTCTACCTTTCAGCTATTGTGAATGCTGCTGCTCTGAACATGGGTGTACAAACATCTGTCCTCATCTCCTTATCCCTGACCCTTTCTAAGTTTTGCCCATGTGGGGCTCAGTCTTACACTCATTTTTGTATTTGTTGTCCATTACACATTAGTGCCTCAACTGATATCGCACAAAAAGAAACACATCTAACATTCTGTTAGGTCAAGACCCAAAGGTAACCTTAGGCTCTATTAAAAGTCCTCTTTTTTTTTTTTTTTTTTTGAGATGAAGTCTCATTCTGTCATCCAGGCTGGAGTACAGTGGCGTGATTGCAGCATCGCAGCTCACTGCAACATCCACCTCCCAGGTTCAGGCGATTCTTCTGCCTCAACCTCCCGAGTACCTGGGACTATAGGCGCGTGCCACCACACCCAGCTAATTTTTGTATTATTAGTAGAGACAGGGTTTCACCATGGTGGCCAGGCTGGTCTTGAACTCCTGGCCTCGTGATCCACCCCCCCTTGCCCTCCCAAAGTGCTGGGATTACAGGCGTGAGCCACCGTGCCCAGCTTTAAAGTCCTCTAACTTTAAACACTGCACAGGTCTGGCCTTTTTGGGGAGGTTTTCCTCTAAAGGCTCCTGTCTGCACTTCCTAGTTAAGGTTTTCAATATTAATTGATCCCAGTCCCAGCTCCTCAAAAATACAACCAAACATTAACATAAAGTTATCATGTGACCCAGTAATTCCATTTCTAGATACACACCCAGAAGAAATGAAACTACGTCCACATAAAAACTTGTAGGCAAACGTTTATAGCTAGCATAAAACTCATGACAGCTGAAAAGTGGACATAATCCAAATGTCCTTCCACTGATAATGGATACTCAAAAATGTGGCATATCCATTCAATGAAATACTATTTAGCAATAAAAACAATGAATTACTGATACAGCTACAATATAGATGAACCTCATATTAAGTGAAGGAGGCCAAACACACAAAAACATACATATTGTATGATTCCATTTCTATAAAATGTTCAAAAAAGGCAAATCCATGGAGACAGGAAGTAGATCAGTGGTTGCCTAAGGCTGAGGGGAGGGAATGGAGAGTTACAGCAAATGGACACACGGTTTCTTTCCAGGGTGAAAGAAATAAAGATTCCAGACTTAGATTGTAGTGATGATTGCACAATTATGTAAGTTTACTAAAAGTCATTGAATTATACATCTAAAATGGGTGAATTTCATGATATATAAATTATACCTCAATAAAACTGTTTTTTTAAAATGTAACTCAAATATTTAACAAGTAGAATTCATGACATCAAAATACAGCAGTTACTACATAGAATCAAAGGCAGGAACTTCCTATGACAAAATATTCACAGTGACTATCTCTAGCAATTTCACGATAACATTTCTTTCTGTCTCTTAAGTGTATTTTATAAACTTTCTGCATTGACTATCTGGCTTTCCTGACAACAACAATGAGGCGGCTACTGCTGTTGTTGTTTTAAATAAAAAGCATGGGTAAATTGATTTATAAGCTTGCGGTGGGGAAGGCCTTTCAGAATAAGATAGAAAAGCCGGTAGCCTAAAGGTACTCTGCCAAATTTGCCATATGAAATGTTAAAAATGCTGCTGCAGCAAAAACCAAACCAAACAAAAACAAGAACTAAACACAAAGTTAAAACACACAGGACAAATTGGAGAAAACATCTACAAAACACAGTGAAAGACAAAAGCCTAACTTTCTTAATTTATCAAGCTCAGCCAAATCAGTAAATGCTGAACCCAATGGAAAAATGAGCAAAGAATAGGAATAAGCAATTCACAGAAAAAAGAATATTAATGGTCATTTTACAGATGAAAAGATGCTCAACCTTGTTCACTTTGTGGTGAGACTATAAACTTGTATGTTGTTTTTTTTTTTTTTGAGACGGAGTTTTGCTCCTGTTGCCCAGGCTGGGCGTGCAATGGCGAGATCTCGGCTCACTGCAACTTCTGCCTCCCAGGTTCAAGCGATTCTCCTGCCTCAGCCATCTGAGTAGCTGGGATTGCAGGCATCCACCATCACGCCCGGCTAATTTTTGTATTTTTAGTAGAGACAGGGTTTCGCCATGTTGTTCAGGCTGATCTCGACCTCCTGACCTCAGGTGATCTGTCCACCACGGCCTCCCAAATTGCTGGGATTACAGGCACGAGCGACCAAGCCCGGCCAAACTTGTATGATCTTTTTTATGGGCAATTTGACAAAATGTACCAATACCTTTTTTTTTTTTTTTGAGACGGAGTCTCGCTCTGTCGCCCAGGCTGGAGTGCAGTGTCCGGATCTCAGCTCCTGCAAGCTCCGCCTCCCGGGTTCACGCCATTCTCCTGCCTCAGCCTCCTGAGTAGCGGGGACTACAGGCGCCCGCCACCGCGCACGGCTAATTTTTTGTATTTTTTTTAGTAGAGGCGGGGTTTCACCGGGTTAGTGAGGATGGTCTTGATCTCCTGACCTCGTGATCCGCTCGCCTCGGCCTCCCAAAGTGCTGGGATTACAGGCTTGAGCCACTTCGCCTGGCCTACTAATACCTTTTTAAAGTGTAGTTCCACATTGTGCGACTTGGCACACTATAGGGAATCTATAGGGAATCCACTCCTATGAAATTACCCTATAGATTACACCAACAAAAATAATCCAAGATAGACATAAGCATATGTTCATTGCAATGTGGTTATAGTGAGAAAACTAAATCCTGAATATCCATGAGTAAGGAATAAGCTAAATAAATTATGCTACCTTACAAATGGAATTCTATGCACTCTTAAGAAGTATTAGTTACATCTAGATGTGCCAATGTATAAATATCTCTGAGAAATAGGAAGTGAAAAAAGAAAACAGCAGCAGAATGAATATGGAAAAAAAATCCATGTTCTACAAATTTTAAAAGATAAGTATACACATACGTAAATATTTTTTTCCAGAGATAGTAATGGTTATCTTTGAAATGAAGGACTGCCGGATAGAAAGTCTATCGACTTTTGGCCGGGCGCGGTGGCTCAAGCCTGTAAAAAAAAAAAAAAAAAAAAAAAAAAAAAAAAACAAAAAAAACAAAAAAAGAAAGTCTATCGACTTTTCATTTCTGTTCTACCGACTTTTCATTTCATTTCTATCGACGTTCCCATGCTGTTACGCACATTTTAAGGCTGTGCCTGTAATTTTTTTAACGTCCACAAAGGCTAGCTAGGAGGTGGGATTATAAACCATTTGTTTTCTTCTTTTTTACTTATCCATATTTAAAAATAACTTAATGGATTTGTTATTTCAACAGGTTATTCTTCTCCGCTTGACCTCGAGTTACAGAGATGCCAGATGAAGTCAAAGAGGATACCAGATGCAGCCAGGCGGCTGGGGAGGCACGTACGTCTCAGCTGACCCAGGGCAGCTGTTCTCCAGGGCGCGGCTTGGCCATGGCGGCGGCCCCAGCGCCCGCATTCAGCCCAACCCACCAGGTCACCCCAGTCCAGTCCGTGGTGCTCAGATCCCCAAGCAATCACAGGTCTGAGGCCGAAAGAACTATGTGAATGTGTACGGTGATATTAGGCGCACGCTCTGAACGAAGGGAAACCGAAGCACTTCAAGGGGCAGCGTTCAGAGGAGGGGAAAGACTGCAGGGTCTGGGTGTGATCCCTGCCTGGACTCTCTTAGAAGCTCCACTATCCTCTTCTCCAGTGATTTGTCTTCCCATTCCAGAATTTCTTACCTTAACCTACTCAGCCTGAGTTAAATAAGCATCTGCATGCAGAAATAAGTAAGTGGGGGAATTTGTACTTTTCTGCAGTGAGCGTGCATTACTTTTCTCATCATACAAATCCGTTTTTAGACAACAATAAATGACCAATATAAGCCCACCTATTCGAAGGTATGCTTTCTACTGGAGTCCGTAGAGACCTTCAATCAGATCTGCTGTGCTCCCACCAGGTAACCCACATTCTCCGCCTGGAAAGAAGGGCAGAAGCAAGCAGGGAGATTAAGGACATGAACAGTGATGGGGGACTGTGAGGACTAGCTGCACAATTCTCCTGGAGGGTGACTTACAAGCAGAGGGCGCAAGAGAAAGGTAAAGAAAAAATACTGGTGTGTCCATGCTTTTGGGTCTATTTAACTAGATTCTCCCAATTTCTCTTCCATCAATCTTTATAGGATTTGCTATGTATTTGCACTACTCAGCTCCATCCTGCTGACTTTATCATATTCTCACGCTGAATCGCGATGAGTAAATTGAGGAAGGAAGCAAGGATAAGTAGGGATGGTGCCACACTACCTCTCAGGCTGGGCACTAGAGGGCAGAAGCTTCCAGGAAATCTTCACAGGCAGACCCTCACTTCTAAAAATGCCCACAGATCTACAACGTTGGTGAACCTGGAGAACATTATCCTAAGTGAAATACGCCAGACCCAGAAGGACAAACACTGCATATCTCACTCATGTGGAATCTAAACGGGTCGAGCTCACCATAACACACAGTAGTAGTAGGGGGGTTACCATGGACTAGGGGATGTTGGTTAAAGGGTACAAAATTTCAGTTATAAGGTGAACAAGGTCTGGAGACCTACTTTACAGCATGGTGACTACAGTGAATAATAATGTGTTGTGGAGTACGGTGGCCTCTGTAATCCCCACGACTCAGGAGGCTGAGGTAGAGGATTGTTTGAGCCCAGGAGTTTGAAACCAGCCTGGCCAATGTAGTGGGATCCTATCTCAAAAAAAGGGGAAAAAATGTATACTTGAAATTTTGCTAAGAAAATAGATCTTAAGCATTCACACCACACACAAACAAACATGATAGATATGTGACTAGCTTGATTGTGGTAATCACTTCGTGATATATACATAGATCAAAACGTCACATTGTACACCTTAAATATGTACAGTTTTTTTTTTTTTTTAGATGAAGTCTCACTCTGTTGCCAGGCTGGAGTGCAGTGGCATGATCTCAGCTCACCACAATCTTGACCTCCCGGGTCCAAGCGATTCTCCTGCCTCAGCCTCCCAAGTAATGGGGACTACAGGCACACACCACCACGCCCAACTAATTTTTGTATTTTTAATAGAGACGGGGTTTCACCATGTTAGTCAGGATGGTCTCGATCTCTTGACCTTGTGATCCACCCGCCTTGGCCTCCCAAAGTGACAATTTTTTTTTTTTTTTTTTGAGACAGAGTTTTTTTGCTCTTGTTTCCCAGGCTGGTGCACAGTGGTGTGATCTGAGCTCACTGCAATCTCCACCTTCCGGGTTCAAGCAATTGTCCTGCCTCAGCCTCCCCAAGTAGCTGGGATTACAGGCATGTACCACCATGCCCAACTAATTTTGTATTTTTAGTAGAGATGGAGTTTCACCATGTTGTCAGGGTGGTCTTGAATTCCTGACGTCAGGTAATTCGCCCGCCTCAGCTTCCCAAAGTGCTGGGATTACAGGCGGGAGCCACTGTATCTGGCCAAATGTGTAGAATTTTTATTTGTCAATCATACTTCAATAAAGCCAGGGTTGGGGGCCGGAGATGATTGACGAAAGAGCCTCTGAATGCAAAAACGTTTAGGAATACCTTGACCAATTAGATTTGTTTGTATTTTCTTTTTTAAAATCTGTGCACGGCCGGGCGCGGTGGCTCATGCCTGTAATCCCAGCACTTTGGGAGGCCGAGGCGGGCGGATCACAAGGTCAGGAGATTGAGACCATGGTGAAACTCCGTCTCTACTAAAAATACAAAAAAAAAAAAAAAAAAATTTAGCCGGCGCGGTGCAGGCGCCTGTAGTCCCAGCTACTCAGGGAGTCTGAGGCAGGAAATGGCGGGACCCGAAAGCGAGCTGGCAGTGAGCCGAGATCCGAGCGCCGCTGCCTCACAGCAGGGGAACAGGGCGAGAAAAATGCCGTCTCAAAAAAAAAAAAAAAAAAAATCTTTGCACAAACAGTGACATAAAAAATAAAAAATGGAAAGAAATCAATGTCCTAGCTAATTCTAAAACAGCTCTTTTCAACATGTTTACAACAAAAATTCTTGCGATATAAAGTATTTAGTGATTTTTTTAAAAAATGCCCAAAGATAGAAAACACTCAACAGCCAAATCCGTGGCCACTAAATGGTCTAGAGTGTCTAAAAACCCACATCACGAAGTGCTTGCTGTTCTATCAAAGTCTCTGCCTTATGGATGGGAAAAACAATCCACGTTAAATTCAATTTTGGCCCTTGTAGCGCTCATTTGCCATGAGTTATCTTATGCAGACTTGATTTCCAAAACAAGTGCTACACTCGGGTCTTGGCTCCCAACTCTCTGATTGATTCTTTGGCTGTGTCCTTCTGAGCAATATTTGTTTCTCTACAGGATGAATGCTGTCGGTGTTAGCGCTGAGAACCAGAGTCTATTCAGGATGGTGGGTGTATACAAAGGAGGGGGAACTGGGGCACAAAGAGAGGAAACTGGTCCCCGTTCGTTAGTTTGCTCCCCGTTCCGGCCTCGTTTTAACACAAAGGCAGGCGTTGTTGACAAATGTTGTAGGGGACACAGGGAGGTCTTCCACTTCCTGGTTTCAGATTGAACTCCACGTCACCTTTATCAAAATTCGTTGAACAGCCCCCTGAGCTTTTGACCTGATCCTCGCTCTCTTTGTTGTGAGTTGCCATCTGCAGGGTCTCTGCTCCTGGCTGTGACACCTCCTTAGTCATCTTCTGGTGTCTCTCCTATGGGCACCACTACTTGCCCACAGTGGCTGTCCTAACAATCTCTCTCAACATTTTAATTGTCACCTTCTAGGTTAACCCCATTTAAAAAGAGGTTTTGTTTCGATCACACCTCTGGGATGTAACAGCTCAAACCACAGAGTTCCTGTTGTGCCTGCTACCAAATCATGTGGCTCCAGGAAATTCTGCGCTTTCCCACCATTTGCTGTTAATCAGTAAACTCCAAAGTTCCTACCAGTCCTGGCTGGGGGATTCAAAACAAGCCCAAGGCAACATTCTTACGCACACTGAGAACAACAGAAGAGTAATTCAGAATGAGATTTTAGGACGATAATTTTTAAAGTTACTTTTTAAATAAAATAAAAAACCATGCCCGTAAGGAAGGCCACTGTGGCATTATCTTAGCTAAAAACTGCACGGAAGTATAGACCACTAAATGACTGGGTCCTAGGCTGGCGCGGTGGCTAAGGCCTGTGATCCCAGCATGTTGGGAGGCCGAGGTGGGTGGATCACGAAGTCAGGAGTTCGAGACCAGCCTGGCCAACATAGTGAAACCCCTGTCTCTACTAAAAAAAAAAAAAAAAAAATTAGCCAGGTGTGGTGGTGGGCGACTATAATCCTAGCTACTTGGAAGGCTGAGGCAGAAGAATCTCTTGAACCCAGGAAGCAGAGGTTACAATGAGTCAAGATTGTGCCATTGCACTCCAGCCCAGGGCAACAGTACAAGACTCTGTCTCAGAAAAAAAAAAAAACCAAAGACTGGGTCTTCAGTTAAAAGTGATCCAAATATACCTCGGACATTCAGACACTGCACTAGAATGTAATCATCACGAGGTAATCATCAGTACAGGCAATGGCTGGGCTCCCGGGTTAACCAACAGTGATTTAAGTTTCCATGAGACCAAGGTTAGTTGTGCTAACTGGTTTCCAAACAAGGTAAAAAAATACCACAGTAGGAACACGCTGTATCTCAAAGAGTAAAACAATATGTCAAATCTCTCTCTCTGCATTACAAATGCCATTTGCATTACAATGGTAATACACTGTAAAGAGATGTTCTACTAAGTTTGTTAGATGAACTACATGTGCTCTGTTTCAAATCACGTACTAATAAAAGTGATCCAGGCCAGGTGCGGTGGCTCATGCCTGTAATTCCAGCACTTTGGGAGGCCAAGGCAGGGGTATCGCTTGAGATCAGGAGCTCAAGACCAGCCTGGCCAACAGAGCAAAACCCCATTTCCACTAAAAATACAAAAAAAAAAAAATAGCCAGGTGTGGTGGTGCACGCCTGTAGTCCCAGCTACTTGGGAGGCTGAGGCAGGAGAATCACTTGAACCCGGGAGGAAGAAGTTGCAGTGAGCTGAGATTGTACCACTGCACTCCAGCCTGGGTGATAGAGCCAGACTGCATCTCAAAAAAAAAAAGTAATCTAGTTCTTTGATAGATTTGCATAATTCCCTAACTAGACTACAACTGATTCCCCTTAAGAAATGTCTGTAGGCTCTCTATGAAAAACAGAGGTTTTTTTTCTTTCTTTCTTTCTTTTTTTTTTGAGACAGACTCACTCTGTTGCTCAGGCTGGAGTGCAGTGGCAGGATCACTGCTCACTGCAGCTGTGACCTCCTGGGCTGAAATGATCCTCCCACCTCAGCCCCTCAAGTAGCTGGGACTATAGGTGTAAACCACCAGTCCTGGCTAATTTTTTAATTTTTTGGTAGCATGGGGTCTCACTAAGTTGCCCAGGCTAGTCTCAAACTCCTGGGCTTAAGTGATCCTCCCACCTTGGCCTCCCAAAGTATTGGAATTATAGGCATAAGCCAATTCACCAGGCCTAAAAATTAGGTTTTTTTAATACAACTTCCTGTGTAAATTGTGTTACTACTTTGTAGGATGCTTACTTTTTCTTGAAGGTGTTTTATTTCCCCCATGAACCTGTCAGCATCTTGAGAGAAGGGACAAGGAGTTCTTTTTTTCTAATTGGACAGCTCAGCATTTTGATTAAATGAACAGCAATGCCACTGAGGGTTGGCCTCCCGTGCTGAGATCTTGTCAGTGGCTACCAGAGGCTATGGAAGCCCCTGCTCCAGCCCAGTGCTTCCC